CCCCCGCGGCCGCCCCCGTCCCCTGCCGGGTCCCCTGTGTCCTCCCCCGTCCCCTGCCGGGTCCCCCGCGGCCGCCCCCGCCTCCTGCCCGGTCCCTGGCCCGTGCCTCGGGCCCTTCCCAGGTGCACACTCCGCCACTGCAGCCCCGAGGTCGCGGCCCCAGGCTTCTGGGCTAGGCCCGTTTTCTCGCCCCGAGAGCCGCCAGGTGGAGGGTCTCCGGGGGCGCTCGTTTGGGGAAAGCAGAAGCAGACCGCCTGGGCGCTGTTAAAATGCCGGCAGCCACGGAAGAAGCTGAGATCTGGCGTCTCCTCGGGGCCGGTGACCTTTACGACGGCGACTCTGTCCCTGGCCTCTTTTCCACTGATTGAACTCATGGCCAGGGAATGGCTCAGTTGTCTGAGAGTTCTTTTGTCTATGAAATAGGGAAAGTGGTGGAGGTGTGAATTCAGATAGGCCAGGAGAGGAAGGAAGGGAAGGACTGAGGTGGAAAGGGAAGAGATGATGACCTCTTAGGGTGGGCTTCGGCCCCCGGGGCACTTCCTTTATCCCCCCGTACTCCTCAGCGGGGTGGGAGAGGCGGAGGTTCCAGGAGGGAGCCTTCAGACTCAGCGCAGGGCTGACAGCAGACGTTCGTTTTGCTTTTTCTGCACTTTGGATCGCCAGCTTATTTGGTCTTTTTGATGTCGTAGGGTTGATAAAGACAGAAGTGGAGTGATATCGGACAGCGAGCTTCAGCAAGCACTCTCCAACGGTGAGTGGGTCAGTGGGGCCTGGGCCTCCGGACCAAGAAGCCGCGAGCCTGCTGTGCTCTCTGGAGTTGATTTTCCAAGGACAAAAAAGCCATTAGGACACGTTATTATTACTGCTTCATGGTGGAGATGCTTCTGGTTTATTTTGAGTGCCTCACCGAGCCAGCTAACAACTGCGTGCGTGAGCACAGGGAAAGGCTTCTTGAGAAATGAAAACTAGGGTGTGGGTTTTAGGAGGGGGGCAGGAAGATTAGCTCTCTACAGCAGAAACCCTTTTGGTAAGTTGGAGGTCCTTGAATTTCCTCGGTGACTGCATCTTGGTGACTTCTCTGCATAGGCCTTCGAGGGCACCGAGGGGTTACCAGGCGGCCAGGGAGGTGATTGTTGGAGGGCTTGGGGAGCTCAAGCAGCACTTGTGTGGGAATGTGACTGCTGCAGGAACTGCAGATACCGGGACCGGATTCCTGGGGAAAGGACTGGGGGTGTTGGAGGTGCTGGCAACGGATTTATGGGGGAGGTGTTCTTATCAGTGTGGGAATCTGGGTGTTCGTTCGGGCAGGGCATCTGGGTCCTTCCGTCTGGGGGCTCTCTGGAGTTACCTTCTTGCCAGTTTCTGCTCCATTGCTCCCCCTCCCCTGCAGTACTATTAGACACATTTTAGTTCACGGAACACCGGACTGCCCGTTTCTGTAATCCCTCAGCTGCGGTCATCTTTTCCGATCCTGTGTATAGTTTATCTTTCCAGATCCGTGCCATTTAAGCTGGAAAAGGGGTCAGTTTTGAGATGTGAAAATGTTGAGAGGCTCCTCTTTATTAGTGGGAAGTATCTGACATTTCCAGAGACTGGACTGGGGAGCATCATGGCTGCTAGAGGCTGCCTCACCGGGGCGGGAGGTGGAGGGGAGGGGGCCTATTGATTTGTGAGGATTTGTGTTTTTAGAGTAACATGTTTACCTTATATTCTGACATCAGTTCCTAATGTGTGATATGTGGGCTATGGATGCTGGTGTATTATTTCACATGCGTTTACGTAGATTGCTTGCAGGGAATTAAGAAATTCTGTTACCTCTGCACTCGTGATTGTGCTTTCTTGATTTTTCTCTTTTCATTATTCTTAAATCCCCCTTTTTTTATTTGCGTCTTTGCTAGTTTATTTATACTCGGGGTAAATGCAGGACAGGGCTACTAGGAAAAGGTGTCAAGAGAACCTGGAATTCAGTAGGCTACGGTTTGACAGATCATAGCTTAAACCGTCCTAAATGTTGACCACAATGGATGCAAGTGGCTCTGTGTGTGGCATCACGTGTTACATACGGTCAGATGACCACCCAGGTTCATGTGGTTCATCACTGGTGATACAAGCCCCACGGAGTGCCCTCCTCAGAGGCCATGCCTCAGAGATGTTCATTTTGAGACGTTTTCCAGTGAGTGATGCAAGATTTATGATCCATTTTAGCAGCCTGCTTTTTATCCATTTGCTCAGATTTTTAGAGTACTGACCAGTTTTAAGTTCTGTGTTAAGCTTGCCCCACTAGGCGTGGTGGTCAAATACTGGACCTCGTTAGCGTGATAGCCTGCCCACCTTGGCAGGCCCCAGTAGGGGGCTTTGGGGCCTGCCTGGATTCCAGTCCTGGCTCTACCAATTCTGTGTCCTCACCGTTACTGGGAGGAATATTGAGGACAAGCATGTGAGGTGCTCCCCATAATTCTGGCACGGGGCGGGTGCTCAGTAATTGTCAGCTGTAATTTGTAGTAGTAGCTAATACACTACCACCATTCTTGGCCAACAAGCCAGCTCAAATCTTTGCTGGTGTTCCGTTACCTAATGATGGTGATGATGGTTTCCGCTGTCTGAGCACTCACTGGGCCAGGCACTTAACCCTAATCCAAGGTCAGCATTATTGTTTGGGGGTGGGGAGAGGAGACACCCCTGCCCTGACTTGTTTGGGTTCCTGTATTTTGACCAGAGGGTCAGTCCTGTCCCAGTTCAGCTGGTCCTTAAAGCATGTAGCTCTTTATTTAACCATTAGCAAGTATCTGTCAGAACATCATCTTGATCTCAGCCACTACTAAATAACTTCCAGGAGCCTGCTTGAGAGAGGGAATTGCCTGAAGAGTTCTGAGTCCACCATTTCGGAGATATTTTGAAGTCAGTGTCTGGCTTAACCCAAGCTGTGTATTGGGACCCTCTCACCGTGGTCCCAATGGAGTCCCTTTTTTTTTTTTGAGATGGAATCTCCGTCTGTCACCCAGGCTGAAGTGCAGTGGCACGATCTCATCTCACAGCAACCTCTGCCTTCTGGGTTTAAGCGATTCTCCTACCTCAGCCTCCTGAGTAGCTGGGATTACAGGTGCAGGCCACCACGACCAGCTGATTTTTGCATTTTTAGTAGAGACATGTTTCACCACGTTGTTCAGGCTGATCTCGAACTCCTGACCTCGTGATCTGCCTGCCTCGGCCTCCCATAGTGCTGGGATTACAGGCGTGAGCCACCGAGGCCAGCCTCTGGAGTCACTTTTCGTAAGCATCCTCCTTTGCCTTGGACTCTGTGCTTCCTCTTCCTTTCATCTCTGTAGAATGAAGCCCCACCCACCCTTCAGGATGCAAAGCCGCCTTCTTCTCTAAAGTGCCTGTGAGCCAGGTGATGTCCCAACACTGGGAGGCCAAGGCAGGAGGATCGCTTGAGCCCAGGAGTTTGTGACCAGCCTGGGCAACGTTGTGAGACTCTGTTTCTTGAATTGCCCTGGGAGGTCTCCTCAGCTTGTGCGGGGGGCATGTGGCCCCATGAAGCCTGTAGTCACTGTGGACCCTGAGAGACGCTGGCTTTGTGGCTTTGTGGCTCACACGCCTGCTGTGGGGCAGCCCCAGGAGATGGCCGCCCTGTTTCTCCCTGGAGCTCAGCAGCTGTGGTAGCTGTTCTGTTTGCATCTTATAAACCCTTTACCTGATTACGTTTTCCTCTTCAATTTCGCTGCTAAAAAATTTAAAGTCAGTTATGTGGCTCACCAGTAATGAGAGTTTAGAATTTTTGAGATAAACTTATGACATGGTCTTAACTCTTCACTTTCTCCTCAGCCAACACAATTAACAGGTACTTTATTTTCTGTACCGTGAATGTCTTTCATGTTTCCTGAATTCCTTCTGAAATGAGGCGGGTTGCTAGTGAGTACAGATTTCTGGTCCTTCTCACAGCCTCAGGCAGTGGACTGTGGTGCTGTCCGTGCTCCCCTTCCGGGTTGCCTGTGGTGGCTCTTCAGCTGCGGGGTTGCGATATGAAGCCTCCTTTACTACACCACGTTTCTCTCCTGTTCTGTGCCTTTCCGGGTTGCCTGTGGTAGCTCTCCAGCTGCAGGCTGAGATTTGAAGCCTGATTTAGTACACCACGTTTCTCTCGTGTGCTGTGGTTTCTCACATGTGAGCATACACCCCTGTGTGTTTTCCCACCACACCTCTGCCTGTTGGCATCCTACTGGATGTCTCAGCCCAGCCATTTTGTTTCGAAGATTCCCTTGTTCTCCACCCCTTTGCTTTGAGCTCTTAGCTTCCGCTGCCTTTCATCTTTGCAGGATGAAGCCCTACCCGCCCTTCAGGATGCCAGCCTTGGCAACATTGTAAGACCTTGTTTCTACAAAAAGTAAACAATATTAGCCAAGTATGGTGGTGCAAGCCTATAGTCCTAGCTACTCGGGAGGCTGAGATGGGAAGTTCACTTGAGCCTGGGAGGTTGAGGCTGCACTGAGCTGAGATCAGGCCCCTGTACTCCAGCCTGGGAGACAGAGTGAAACCCTGGCTCAGGGTGTACAGTGACGACAGGCTTCGTGAACGCATGTGGCTCCTGCCGTGGGATCATCAGCGTTGTTCTTTTCTCTGACATGCCTTTGTAGTTCCCTCTCGCTACTGGATTGTGAGCTGTGTGAGGGAAGGGTCGTAGTTGTGTTATATGTACAGGCACACAAAGTTTGGCCTTGGATAGAGACATATCAGTTCGCTCCCTTCTCCCTGAATTTCTTTAAGAAAATTTAGAGATGGAATCTCACCGCCTTGCCCAAGCTGGTCCCAAACTCCTAGGCTCAAGCAATCCTCCCACCTCAGCCTCAGCCTATACTAATATGAATTCCTTTGTGAATATGATTGAAATTAGTTTGATTTCTATAATAATTGTTCTCCCAGAATTGGGCTTCTGTTTTGATAGTAGAACTAAATCATTAGGCTATATCAAGAAATTAATTTAATTAATATAATGCTGGCAGAAAAACTGAAGTTACAAAATGGCCTGGTTTCTCATTTCAGTTAAATTTGTGCTTCTGAGTGCTTGTGTTAGAATCTAGGTGAAGCCGCACTGAGAAGGTATTTGTGGCTTGTACACTGCTTCCTTCATAAGACTTGTTTGCACAGGAGAGCTGCTAAAAATTACTGCTCTCAGGGAGGCCTGCGGTTAACAGGTATGAGGAAAGAAGAAGACTGTTCTCTGCCCTTATTTTTACAATAACGTGTTACAAACTATCTTGAGTTTGATCCCTCTTTGGATTTTTTTTTTTTTTTTAACATTTACGTATTTCTCGGAATTAAAAGAAATTAACTTTTTTCAAGTCCGTGCTTCGAAGTAGGTTTGCCTTAATATAACTATAGCATCGATACATTTTTAGGGGGCATTTTTGAAACTGTACTTTTAAAAGTAATAATTCTTACATTCTTTTGAAGTTCTTTTTTTGTTTGTTTGTTTTTTTTTTTGAGACAGAGTCTCACTTTGTTGCCCAGGCTGGAGTGCAATGGTGCGATCTCAGCTCACTGCAGCCTCTGCCTCCCTGGTTCAGTGATTCTCCTGCCTGAGTAGTTGGGATTACAGGTGCCCGCCACCACGCTCGCCCTATTTTTGTATTTTTAGTAGAGATGGGGTTTCACCGTGTTGATCAGGCTGGTCTTGAACTGCTGACCCCGTGATCCACCCACCTTGGCGTCCCAAAGTGCTGGGATTACAGATGTGAGCCACCACGCCCGGTCGGTGTTTTTTTATCAAATAGAGTTGAGGCTCTCTTGGAGATCCCACATTTAAAAGAACAGAAAAATCAGACCTCAGAAGCAGGAGAGTGCCCTGCAAAGCACGTGTCCAGTCCCATCATTGTCCTTCCCTCACTCGGGCCCAGGAAAGTGGGGGATGGTATTTGTTGCCCCCGGTGATGGAGCAGATTTGATCTGCCTGTATGGGGAAGGGTTAACTCAGCAGGCCTGGATTGTTCAAACCGGCAGGTTCTTAGGCAGGGTCTTGGCTGGCTCCTGGGAACTGAGGGCTTGCCGTGTTCTGACTGAGGAGAGAGACTTGAGCCATGCTACACTGCTTTGCCTGAGTAGGTGACTAATAATGTGATGGATGGCAAACATCTGCTTTCCCTGTGGGTGGCTGGAACTTCCCTGACTGACCCCAGGTTCAGGAGGAGCCTCCCTGGTCTCAGCTCTTCCCTGGAGGAATCCAGCGCACCCTGTGTGACTCCGCTGGGTGGGGGCTCTGGAAGGGCCTGGCTTCCCCACTGGCCCTTTTCCTTGGCTGGTTTACTCTGTACCCTTTCAAGTTGGAGGGTGGTCTCAGGGACCCCCATGCAGTCTTTCATGTTTGCTTTCACCAGAAACTGACCTTGCCAGAGCTTCAGGGGAAGGGTTGGGATTTGGTGACAAGTGACTCCCTAGCCTTGGGCCAAGCACAGCGTCTGCTTAGGTTTTCGGGTGGATGCCCAGGTATGTCTAGCATGATGTAACTGAGCCATGAAGTGTCTGTGCGCCACAGTGTTTCAGCTTGCTGCGGGCCGGTAGGCTTTCTGCTTGTCCTCCCTTGGCTTCTGTGGAGATGCCAGAGCAACCCATCCTGGGTGGCAAGGAAGGTGAGTGGAGACACCAGGAGTGTCCTTCCCTCAGTGGCCCTTTCTAGTGGAGCGGCTGCTTCTCTCTGATCCTTGATTCATCCAAGGGTAATTTCTGCTCTCCTGGGCCTCAGGCCCTCCTGCAATCCTTAGAATACTCCAGAAGACCCCAGTACGGCCATCTGGTTCCTCCTGGTCCCCAGCTCTCAGGAATGCACTGTCTCTGCCGCTCCATGCCTGCCTGTCCAGATGGCACTGAGGCCCCCATGCCTGCGCTGCAGTGTTGTTGAGCGTCTCACTTGTGTTTTAACCGTATTGCTTTGGTTTCATACTTGCTTGGCTGTGTTATTTGCCGAGATGGCCCAGAGAAGCTTCGCTTGTGATCAGGACACCTCACAGTGCAGCCTTCACTTGAGGGCTTAGGCCTTATCCCTGAAATCCCTCCGTGGTTCCCACTCCCACTCCACACAGTCAGTCCAGGGCCACGGACACATGTGGCCTCCTCTTTACAGAAAACACAGAAGAAGCTCATGTCAGGAAGACGGAGGAGAGCCCTGGAGACTTCCAGTGGCTTTGGCTCCTGTGGCTTCTTGTCAGCGCTGGGTCAGAGCAGGTCACCCTCGTGTGCAGACACTGGGTTCCAGCGCACGGTGGGGAAGAATGGGGGAGGACTACATGGAACTGGGTGAGGCAGGGATGCTCCTAGGTGTTTTGAATTTTCCTCTTTCTTTGCCTTGTGGGTTCTCTGTAGCCTACCTTTGTTTTTGTAATACTGGTTTTCTGACCTAATACCTTTGCATACATACGCCTGCCCACTTTCCCTCCAGATAGCTGTAAAGCCTACAGAAAGGTATTCCTGCAGATTGTCACTCGATTCAGCTTCACAGATGCTGGTGGAGTGCTGCTGCGTGTGCGCCGCGGGACAGGTGTGCCTGGTTGTGTGGGGAGAGCACACCTTCCCTGCCTAACTGCAGAGGGGTGGGACCTTCCCAAAGAGAAGTGGGAGGTGCTCAGGCCAGCAGATGGATTTAACCTGTGGGCTGGGAGAATGTGGCACCCCGTGGCAGCCTCCCTGAGGAAGGAAAGGAAGGAGTTGGAGGGAGAGTGGGTGTGTCCTGAGGGGGAAAGCACTTCAGGTGAGAGCGGCCATGGCCCTTGCTGGAGCCCCATGAGCCCAGAGTGATGGCATGTAGAGGCATGAGGGACCGTGCAGGCAGATCCCACCGCCCCTGCGCCACCCGTAGCGTGACAGTGTTCCTCTGAGATCAGAGGACTGTCTGTGTGCTGCCCAGGACCGCGGCAGTTTTGTGTGTAGAAGAAAAACCTGTGTGTCTAATGCAGATGGGGTATGGGGAGAGCCACTGATCTCTCCCCACATTAAAAATGTATTTTTAGTGAGTGCAGAAATTACTGACGGTACAAATCACTCTGAACATAGGTTCTTGTGTGTGAAGGTTATCAGTGAACCCTCCGTCCTCATAGTTGCTAAATGGTTGTGAGCGCTCAGACATATCAGATTCAACAATGAATCTGAGAATAGTACAGATTTCTTATTCAGTTTCAAGGAAAATCATATAATGCCCAGCCTATAATTTATCAGGAATTTCTGAAGTGAGGTGTGATGAATGTCCCACTGTGCTTTGCCATGATTACTGAGGGAGAACGTAAGGAAGGGTCTGGAACTTGCCCCATCGGTAGAACCAGCCCGAATGCTGCAGTGACCAAGCTATGCTCAGGTGCCTGCAGACAGTGGTGGCCTTAGTGATGGTTTTTCCGAAATGGTAATTAGTGAAGTTCTCTAACAAAACTAAGTTCAAACTACTCAACTTAGCTAGTGGTTGCATCCCTGAAGAATTCAGTGTGTAAAATGATACAGAACCGTTTCTTGGTTATGTTAAATAAGAGTGCGTGTCCAGCCTCAGTGACTGTGGGTGGCCTTGGAGTCTGGCAGCCACGGAGGACTCCCACACACACAGGACATGACCCCACCGGGCAGTGCTTCGGCCCTTCCCGGGAGTCATCGCAGCCGACACGTCACCCAGAGTGTCTAGAAAACCACTGCCCTGGAGCCAGGACTGCCTTTCACAGGGCCTCCAGGTATAGACCGGGAACTCATGTCCCAGAAAGATTTCCTTTTAGCTTAACTCCTGTTTTTTGTTTTCAGGCACGTGGACTCCCTTTAATCCAGTGACTGTCAGGTCGATCATATGTGAGTATCAGCCGACACACCATCCTGGGCTGCTTTGTATCCAACCCGCTTGGTACAGGTTCTGTTTCCTTTGTCTGTGGGTCCATATCACTTTCCTCCCTTCTGGAATTCCACTTAGATGAGTGTGGGCTCCTTCATCCTTCTCTTCCCGGCTCTGTGTGTACCTTTTCACATCTCTCCGTGTGTGTTTGCTTTATTTTAACTATTTTTAATGTACCGTTTAACCTGTCCTTTCAGTTTCTAATCACCCCTTCCAGATCTCTTTAACATGGAATCCTGGGTTCAGCTCTGCTTCACAGGGACCATGGCGTTGTCCTGAGGTTGCCCAGAGCAGCCTGGGGCTTGTTCCCTCACCTCCCGTCCAGCCATGACTTTTAGTCTTTTGACGATTCCCTTCGTTCCTTGAGGAGCCCATGTGTGGTGAGGTGTGTGAGTCTGGTGGTGGGGATGCAGGTAGCAGGGGCTTCTCCATGTGATCCTGCCCTGCTGCTGCTGGTGGTGCAGGTGTCACTGCGTCCCGCTGATGGAAGGAGAGAAAACTTGTAAGTGTAGTAGTGGCAGGGCTCAGCCTTTAGTGCTAGAAAAGGTGTTGATAGATGGGGGCTACCTCCCCACTGGAGAGGATGGGCCTGGGAGCCACTCCTCTGCTGAGCCCTTCCCCTGGCGTGCAGCCCACCCAGCAGCATCCCACCTGCATGGTCCACACACACCACACACGGAGTGCACATCCTCAACAGTCTTGTGAAAAACAGCCCATGTGGCATCACAGGCTTGCGGGCTGCTGGGAGGAAACAGTAATTCTGTTTCTCACAGGATTTTTTATCCTGTGGGTTTTCATTTGGTTGTAACATTTCTGATCAAACAGGAGGAGTTGAATCGCAATCCTATATTCAACACTGTGCTTGAAAAGAGAGGCCACATGATTTATCATTTTCTCTGCAGCAGCAATTCAGACTGAATTTTCTGTTTTTTAGCCATATTGCAACTACATATAAAGGTAGTTGTAGATTCTTTTGTATTTGGATCTGGAATTAGACTGAAAGCAAATAGGATAAGGCGAGAGTTTTTATTTTTTCTTTTCTTTTTATCACCCCCTAATCTGTAAAACAATACCAAATTATTTTTTTCTTTTGAGACAGAGTTTCACTCTTGTTGCCCAGGCTGGAGTGCAATGGTGCTAACTTGGCTCACCGCAACCTCCGCCTCCCGGGTTGAAGCGATTCTCCTGCCTCGCGAGTAGCTGGGATTACAGGCATATACCACCATGCCCAGCTGATTTTGTATTTTTAGTAGAGACGAGGTTTCACCTTGTTGTTCAGGCTAGTCTCGGACTCCTGACCTCAGATGATCTGCCCGCCTTGGCCTCCCAAAGTGCTGGGATTACAGGCGTGAACCACCGTGCCCGGCCTGGTGAGAGTTTTTTTTCTAATTAGAGCGGGCTTTCCTGAGCCTTCACCAGTGTCACGGGCCCTGGAGAGTCAGAGGGTCGGCTCTGGGAGCTAGATTCCTGCTCTAGGCTGAGACCCAGGTGTCAGGGGAGCTGGGGCCACTCAGCCTCCCTGTGCCTCAGAAGCGCAAAGCTCTGCTCTTTTTTCCATTGTGGCTGTGGCCGGATTTCCTCGCACGTCCCTTTGCACGGCCTGCCTTACAGCTGCGAGTGCGCCTTCTCATGGGACTTCGGGGTCACACCCCCAGGGATTTTGCCCTATTCACAGACAGGCATGCATTGCCCAGCCCCTGGTTAGTGATCAGCGCTGACGCCGCCAGGCGCTGAGGGCTGAGGGCTGGTGGGAAGCTTCGAGTGAGTTTCGCGACTGATCTTTTGCTGCTTGACTGTTCCTCTGTCTCAGCCATGTTCGACCGTGAGAACAAGGCCGGCGTGAACTTCAGTGAGTTCACAGGCGTGTGGAAGTACATCACGGACTGGCAGAACGTCTTCCGCACGTACGACCGGGACAACTCTGGGATGATTGACAAGAACGAGCTGAAGCAGGCCCTCTCAGGTTTTGGTAACTCACTCACCTGGCTTGTGTAGCGTGTTTCATTTTGGAACCTAGCAGCCGTTGAAGGTTTTGTAAACCTTGTTGAACTTAACTGATTGTTTAACCAGGTGCTTAACCACGCCGTGTAAAGTTTTTGTTTACATCACGCAGGTTCATATTTTGACATTGCTCATGTTGGAAGGCAATATTTGATGTGGATGCGTTTATGCAGTTTTTATCCAAAATGAGATAAGGGCTATGCAAGCCGGTCATTTTTTGTGAAGTGGAATGATGTCATGAGCAAAACTGAGAATGTGGCTTTTGAAATCATTTAAAAATGGATCCATGAAAATACCGTGGGGCAGGGGAGCTTATATTTCGTGAGACACCAAAGCATGTGGAAAACGTGACAGTCATCTAAGAAAAAGCTGTCAGTCCCCACGTCCAACTCTGTCCAAACCGTGCGCCTCAGAAGGGGCGTTAGGCGGAGCACGTGCCCATTCTCAAGTGTGTTGCGCACGTGTGTGCTGTGTGTGTGCACACATGTGTGACAGTGTGCCGTTGCCTCAGCAGTGTCAGACAGAGCAGATGCCCATTGTCAAGTGTGTTCGTGTGTGCTTGGCGTGTGTGCACGTGTGAAGGTGTGCTGTGTGCCTCAGAAGCAGCATCAGACGCAGAGCACTTGCCCATTCTCAAGTGTGTTCCGCATGTACGTGCTCTGTGTGTGTGCACACACGTGACAGTGTGCTGTGTGCCTCAGAAACCGCATCAGAGAGGTGGAGTGTGTTTCCGTTCTCAGGTGCTTTCCTCGTGTGTGTGCTCGGCATGTGTGTGACAGTGTGTGGTGGTGTGCTGTGAGTCTCAGGAGTGTTCACAGGGCCTGTCCAGAGTTGTCTATAGGGCCCGTCCATGGGGCTTCCTGTGCTGGTCTCAGGTCTGAGAAGAAGCAGGGCTTCTATTTTCAGAGAAACAGCCAGCACAAGAGGTTCTAATCTGGGCGAGTCTCACCTGGCCCCCGCTATGAAGCTGCTTCTGCGATTTACTTAAAAGGCTCCTTAGAACCAGTGAGGATCATTAGATTCTGCTTTAGTTAGTCTGAGCTGTCTGGAGTCTCACTCATCTAAAGCACGCTGCCTCTCCGCATGGCCCCTCCCAGCACGCACTTTATGGCTATCTTCTCTCTTTCTCTTTTCTTTCTTACCTTACAAGCTCATCCACAGGGCCAGCCGTGGACACTGGGTCTCCACAAGAAGCTGTTCTGAGCTGGCCAGCTGCGGGCCAGGGTTTGGGCGGGATGGCTGTGAATTGGCACTTGGAATGTAGCTGACCTTGCGGTGCCCTTGGGTGGGGGAACTGGCAGAACTGTGGCCAGCTCCTCTTCCCTGGGGTCGGCATGGAAGGGCTGGGAGGGAAGGATCCCCCTCCACAGAGAGCGGTCCTAGGGACCAGGGAGGCCAGTGCAGCCAGGGCCATGTGGACTTCAGGACCAGCCTGGAGTTATTTTTAGACAAGAGACCTCTAGTGCCACGGACGTCTTCCTTTCCTAACCAAGTCAGGCCCCGGAGCTCCCTTTGCTTAGTACCAGTGACCATCAGGTCTCTCAGCCCTCTTCATCCTGGTCTGGCCAGGGATGTCCCAGAAAACTGTGCTGAGCTGTAGTGGGAGGCGCCTCATGCCCTGGAGCCGGCAGTCCTGCTTGTGTTGGGCGGCAGAACCTTCCCGACTTCTGAGCTGTTCCTGGGGTGCGGGTGCCCATTGCGGCGTTTCTCTGGTTACCCTAATGGTTTTCCTCCTGCGTTTGGTTCTTGATCTGCAGAGCTGTCGCCCACGTCTTCTGTGGAAAGGGGCGTTGCCGTCCTTTTTGAATTTTGATTATTTTGAAAGATTTCCCGTAGTAACTGTTAGGAAGTGGGCCTCAGAAGCAAAAATTCTTCTCTTGTCTTGGCCCCTAGGAATAAGTGTTTTGCTCTCAGATAAAAGCAGGGAGGCTGCATTTGGGCTCAGTGGCCGGCACGAGGGAGTCACCCGGGTGGTGGAGCCTGCAAGATATCCCCTGGGCGTCTCTGATGGGGCCACGTGGTGGGTTTTATAACCCAGCCATCCATGTTTTTAATTGTTAACATCACCTGTGTGCCAGGCTCAGAGACCTGGAATGAAAAGGTGCGGGAGGCGTCCCCACATTCCGGCACTCATCACCGGTGTGAGACCCCCTGACTCAGCAGGTGCCGTTGAGGTTGCCGTAGACATCCGGTGAGAGCCTCCCCTCAGTGCAGTGCCTGTCCGAGAGAGGCAGTGGGCGGAGAACAGTTCCACCACCCCACCATCTCCTCCGTTCCCTCTAGGTCTCCCCTTCCTCCACCAGCCTCTGGAAGTCACCGCCAGTTTATTTTTTTATAATGAAAAAGGTACTGGAGTGGAAGGAGCCTCCATTCACTCGTCACTCGTTTTCAGCTGTTGCTTATCTTTGTGCTGTGTGTGCTTTTCCCGCTTTCTAAAGCCACCTCAGCACATGCAAGGCCTTGCGGCAATCCTGGCATTCGCTGTGTCTCTGGAGCACATGGACATTTGCTTATGAAGTCACTGCCACTAATTCCCATTACAGCTTTGACACAGTGCTTTTTCCATTGTTTTGCCTGAGTTAGGCCCAAGCAAGTCCCACTGGCCGGACCCAGAAATGCTGGCAGAGAAATTTTCTGGCGGCGTCATCCCTCGTGCTTGTTCTTAGAGAAGGACTTTGCTCTGTCACAGGACTGCCCGCTTCCTGGAATTTCAGCCCTGGGAGAAGGCCTTCCTGTCCCCACTGGCTGATGCTGTCATCACCCAGGCAGAAACTGGAGCAGAGAGCTTGACAGGCACAGGGAAAGGCTGGGGTCGGGAGCATCTCCACACTGCCTCACTCTGACGCTGCACGGGCTGAGGGAGGGTCCAGACTTCCCAGAGAGGGGACTGGAGTCCATCTGGTCTGGAGCCTTGGTCCTTTGCAGTGTACCAGGCCCCCAAGAGCTGGGAGAGCCCCCAGGAGCCTGGTCCTGTTGGGTGGGGGTAGCTTGGTTTTCCTTGAAGGTGGAATAGATGATTTCCGAGGAGATCAGGGCTCTGCTTGGCTCGTTCACAACATTTCAAGGGAGTCCAAAAGAGGAGAATGATCTTAGAAAGCGGTGGGTCCAAGGACTGTGGTGCTCTCACATGCTGACTTTCATTAGCAGGAACTCAGAGAACAGTGACTGCTGGGTTTTGGCTTCTCAGAGAAACATTCCTTTTGTAGTTCGTTTCTGCATCCCTGATTTTACTAATCTGACTTTGCCTTTGTTTTCCCTTCACTATTGCTGATGATCGAGGAAATTGGGAGTTAATTCCAGAGGCAGTTGAGGTTGCTCCTGTTGTCTGTGCTGACGGGAAATCCTGGGCCTCTGTCCTTCCCCAGCCTTCCCAGGAGGCCGGTGATGGCCTCTGTCCTTCC